GGAAAAGGATTAGTTTATTTCTAGAGAAGCTCTCCTTGTATTTGAACTCCACCAATCCCAAAGACATCGTGGTGACCACTCTCAAACCTGGATCCACACTAATCTCATGGTACAACAGTTCGCTGTGTACAAGTGCCAACAGACCTTTCAGCTGGTGTGCAAAAGAGGAAATCCAAGAAGCACTAAACAAACTACGAGTGCCAGATGGGTATGTTAGCCCACGTTTCATCCAAGCAATGTTACCAGAATACAAGGTTGATGTCATCTTCAATATTTCATATAGTGATAACTGCTTTCCCACTACAAAGCCATTTGGTGGATCTTCCAACAGTACTGCGCCTATGCTTCAAAACTGGCATGACTCCAATATCATACAGCCCCCATCAGCCTTACTAAGCAGTCTTTGTGTCACTGTTGGGTTGGTTCTGCTCGCATTACTTTACTGTTCTTGCAAGCATTACAGCAAGATTCCTGAATCCAAGTTTATGACTTTTCAGAGCAACTCCCAGCTTAGCCATGCTGATGTGGCAATGGATGTCCTGCAGCCTCGAGAAGTACCTGTACATGAGTGTGGGGGATCACCACTACATTCCTCATGGCTGCCACCTTTGTTATCACTTACCTCCCCAGAGCAGTATTCCCGGTCAGGAAGGTTGCCTCATATCGTACCATCTTCCCAGCCACCAAAATATCAACTCCCACCCCGTTACCAAGAGGGTACAACTACTCAAAATGACTGGGGCAGTATCTGTAGATTTAAGATGACATCTTCTAAATGATAGCAAGAGCAAATATACAAATAGACAATTTGCATGCTAGGAAGTACTGTCCGTATCGTGCAGGAAAAAATAGGAAAAGGCTAAGTATTTAATTTTTCAATTTCAGATAGGACATAAATTACATAAGCTATGCCTAACGAAGAGGCATAAGCAGAATCAGAATCCTGAAACTAAGTATCAGAACAAAATGCCAAATACATAAGGTAAAGTTATCTATAGATAAGGTGGACAGACTAACATGTCTGTACCAGTCAGTCAAAAAATGCATACCATACTGATGCTAGCAGGACTGAGCCAAAGTTGAGTGAAACCAATTTCATTATGACTCCATACATTTTGTGAAGAAAGCAGAACTGTCAGGAGAACCATAACAAACGCCAGTGTTTCCACTGAAACTTGAAGGCCCTACAAGCCCTGAGTCTCTGTGTTATCCTATAATTATATCCATATCTTTTAAAAAAATAAGAGCTCCCTAACATGAAATGCTTCTCTTCCCATGTCACTGTGTAATGTACTTTTATAATTAGATTTTCAAGTTACCAGCTTGCTTTCTTATAGCAAGACTGGCTCTTATTCTGCTTCTATCCGTGACAATTCAAGGATGATGGAGAAAAAAATTGCATAAAAAATCTTGTAAAAGCTTTTCAGATATTTTGGAAATCTTTCAGTTTAACAGATTAACATATACAAAGTTTTATTCATTACTTCCAATTATAAACTACTTTAAAACTGCAAAAATCTTCTATGAATTTGGTCTATTGCACATGATGCTATCGAAGTATCACCAATACCACCACTTTGAAAGGAGATGCGTACAGAGCGCCCTTTCCAGAATTTCCCCAAGACTCTATTGGAGAGAGTGGAGAGCCACAGATCATCAGACCATTGACATTACAACTGCAATAATGAAACAGACTTAACTTTGCTCTTTCAGGCAATCATAAAATGACATATATGCAGGTTTCGGTCTCGTTCACTCTCAGAATCATAGATTCTTTTCTTGCTGTAGATTTGTGGTAACATTTGTACATCTCACGCACTGGGAGAGCTCCTCCTAAATCAAAGAACAATAGAACAGCTTGGGTTGGAAGGGACCTAAAGAATCACCTAGTTTCAAGTGCCCTGCCACAGGCAGGGCTGGCAACTGCTAGAGCAAGTACTAGATCAGATTACCCAGAGACCCACCTAACCCAGCCTTCAATACAATCAGGGTTTTGGCACCCACAACCTCTCTGAGCAACCTGTTCCTGTAACCATGATCTTACTAGGCACGGAAATGAGACTGACTGGCCTGTAGTTCCCTGAATCTTATTTTCCCTTCTTCAAAACTGGGGGTTATATTTCACCTTTTCCAATCAGTGGGAACTTCACCAGACTACTATGACCTTTCAAATATGATGGATAGCAACTTGGCAACTTCATCTGCCAGTTCCCTCAGAACCTGGGGATGGATCATAGAATGGCCTGGGTTGAAAAGGACCACAAAGATCATCTAGTTTCAACCCCCCTGCTATGTGCAGGGTCGCCAGCCACCAGACCAGGCTGCCCAGAGCCACATCCAGCCTGGCCTTGAATGCCTCCAGGGATGGGGCAGCCACAGCCTCCTTGGGCAACCTGTTCCAGTGTGTCACCACCCTCTGTGTGAAAAAATCTCCTCCATGGGATCTCATGGGATCCCATAGACCTATGCACCTTCAGGCTGCCAATGAGCTACATATAATTCACCAGCCCCTCCTCCTTGTGAGGACAACATCCTGCATAGCACCTTTTCTGGTGGTTTCCTGTACTACTTGGAGGAGGAAGTTATCACCAACATATTCCAGAAACCTCTTCGATTTCTGTTGCACTGCCATGTTGTCCTTCCAGCAGATATTGGGGTGGTTGAAGTCCCCCATCAGAAATCATGTTTTGTGAATATGAATCTGCTCTTACCCATTCATAGAAGGCCTCATCCATTTTGTTTTCCCAATTAGGCAACCTGTAACAGACATCCACTGTCTCCTTCGCCTGCCCTCCCTTTAACCCTAATGCATAAGCTCTCTGTCAGCTCCTTGTCTACCCCAAGATGGAGCTCCATAGACTCCAGGTGATCATTACAGTAAAGGCAAACGCCCTCCCCTTCCCCCGTGCCTGTCTCTCCTAAAAGTTTATTCCCACCTATTCCCACATTCCAGTCCTGAGAGTCATTCCAACAGATCCCCTTGATGCCAATGACATCATAGCCCAGTAGGCATGCTCATGCCTGCAAGTCCTCCTGCTTGTTACCCATGCTCTGTGCTTGTACTGACGTACAGGCACTTGAGCAGGACTCCCATTGAGGCTGACCTACCCATTTTGATACTCAAAGGCCAAGTCAAGAGGGTAAATGTTTTAAAGGGCACATTTACGCTGACCTCTTGATTTACCTTTATTTCTCACAAGGGTCCCAAATTCCTCAGTGTTTGCACTGCATCTGGGTTTCACCCTGTAACCCAAGTTACATAGTTTCCCTTACTGGAAAAGGGAACCATAAGTCAACCTTGAGCCAGCATACTAATAAGTTCTCCTGTATTTGCTGAAGACCCTTAAGTGCATAGCCATTTGCCTTACACTCTCCCAGGGGCTGCACACAAGGAAACAAAGCTTCTCAGAGCAGGAAAACATAAGGTAACTACAGCATCACAGTGTGATCTTACTGCCATGTTGTATAGTGGCAAACTAGTGATGAAATCCAACTGAACAGTATGTATAAAAGCCACGCCGAACACAGGGCAGTCCAACAACCACCAACACTGCTCTGACACAGCAAACACCCACTAAGAAGCAGATAGCTAGCCAATGGATAGTTTGTGCAGGCTAAAGAGCATGGACATTAGTGCGTGCTCCTACTGTTAGGAAAGCGAGCAGAGCCAGACCCAGTGAAGCAGCAGGCAGGGAGATGAACAGCGACTATTAAACCACAAGTGAGAAAATGTTGCTGACCTATTAAGGTCTTTGAAGGAACAGTGGGTGCTTTACAAATTTAATAGCAGTGAAATTATTTACTTCTTGCATAAGCTAGTAGCATTCGTCTCTGCAACTTTGATTAACTTCTAAAATAAATATAGTCTTCCAGCTGACAACTCCACATTGGCAGAAGACAACCAGCTGTAAGTCAGGTCTCATGTTTGATGCAAAAGTCAAACCAACAGTAATTTCCTACCATCAGATGACGAGACATAAGGTTGGCAAGTTAAATAAGCTACCTTGACATGCAGCATATTTAGAACTCCTGATCAAGCTACACCAAGCCAGGCTATAAGGACAGAACCAACACACATCCTGAAATGAGACTCTGCCATTGATTTTTTGGGACAGACTTTAGATGACCTTGATGAACTTACCATCTTACCACATTACTTTCATCCTATTATTGAATTTTTAAATGAAAACTGGAGTGTAGTGAACATGTAGATTTGTTTAAGGTAATGACTGTACTGAGGTGTGATGGTGTGTACCAGTACTATGGTGAAAATGCTTAGCTGTAGTCTTGGGGTCTTTTAAATTATTGAGTTCATCACTTAACTCACAAACAAAGAACACCTTTAATTTCTACTGCAAATTAAGCTAGTGGAGGAGGAACCAGAGTTGTTTTTCATTTCTTTTAATCATCCACACTTCAAAAATCTGCGCAGAAAGGCCATTAAGTAGTAACTTACTACTCAGTAAGTAGTATTTCACACAAGCAACATATGACTTTAAAATGAAGATGCACAGGACTACACATCTAAGTTTATTTCTTGGATAGCAACATCTGATTTTCAAGATAAGAAAAGAAGGCCTCAGACTTTAGGGGTATCAAAAATCATATACTGCTTCTGTGAAAACTAGATACATCTTTAAATGTTATCAAAATACTATCAGGCAAGTACTCTTTTCTCACTGCCAAAAATGGCCCTACAATCATTTAACAAATCACACTTACTGTCTAATTGTGGCTACCAATATAAATATACCAGCATGATATTTGTGTTCTGAATTAGTCACCATAAAGTATAGCATTTCAAGTTTCAGATTAAGAAATATAAACATATTGAGTTAGTTTTAAGACTTCTTTCTGAGCTTTTCTATACTGACAAACTAACATATCAAAGCTGCGGGACCTTCAGTTGCTTATTCAGGCTAAAATAAAGCAATAGGAATAGACCAGAGGAAAACTGATAGAACCACTAAACTCAAGTGGAAGCACAGAAAGACTGGGAATTAGTTTCTGCATGAGGTTTTAATTTTTTATTTTTTATCTCCATAGCTTCATGCCCTGCTCTTCTACAGTTGGCATGCTGAAGGGATCAGCTACTTGGAGAGACTAGCAGAGATACTTCTGAGGGAAACAAGAAAAGAAAAAAAAGACTGATAATCACATTTGTCATTTCTTAGCCATATTTAGATATTCAGAATAAGCTTCCCCTTTATAAGCATTAGGGCCTAAACTGGCCTAAAGCCACAGGTAATTTGGTAATTGGAGGTAATTTGGAGGGTATATTCCATCAAAAAAAACATTTAATGGTTAGCAAAAAATTTATTTCAATTTTGTTTAAAAACACTCAATTCCAGCATAACAACCTGAAAGATCTTGCTTTCTAAAGTTCATTCCTAACAAATTTTAAAAAGTTCTGAAGCCAACATTTAGTCTTTAAAACCACTCACGCCCCCACCCCACCACTTGCATGAAAACCAAGACTGATATTCTCAGCTCAGCAACAAGGTGTTCAGTGCGCGGTCTTTTCAATAACTCTGGATGCCTGAGAAGTTTTCTATAAATAAAAGTATTAATGAACTGAAATTAACAGTATCAGTTATTTATCAATTGAAACTGAAGCTCTTCGATACAGTCAGTCACCACTGTATTAAATACTTATGGAAAAGGACTTTAAATTCAGATCATCTTTGACAATTTCATTTAGTCCTCGGCAGCAGAGGCTTTCTTCATTCTTAGAAGTCGACTGTACAGTACTTCAGGACAGGCTATTTGCACACCATTCAGTGTGATACGTGCATTTTACAGTTCATAGAAAAATAGAAATACAAAAGAGTAAAAACAAAACCAGAACAATTGTACTAAATGGTACCAATTTTAACTCCAACATCATGGTGTTCTATTTTTGTTCCCCCCCCGTGCAATTTGGCCAAATTCTGTTTGAACAAAATCACTGTCGTCCAGTTTTTCCATTCTCTGTCGCTTCCATTCTGAAATGGCAGAAAGCAATTGGTAAGGATCATCATTGTTAATACAATCAACAGACTAAAAAAAAAGAAATAAAAGCTGCAATTTTTGTTTTATAAACTTTGCATACTTTAATCCTCAAAAATGTAAGCAGTCCTTTTAATGCAAATAAACTATTAATCTATTTCAAACTATTGCATTTGACTATTGCTTGAGTAGTAGTGATGCATTCATTGATACAAACCCATTTTCTTCTTTCAGATGTTGGTACAGCTCAGCTTTATTGTTGACAGAGTTCAAACGACCAATAAATTCTTGGTGTTTCCTAGAATTGGCGGTATTAATCCTGTTGCTCCATAAAGACAGCAAGGACATTGGCCCTAAAATTGCATGCAAAAATAGGTAAAATCTGTAACTGGATGACTTATAACCAAGTGATTTAATTCTGTGTTCCTAGAACATGAAGTTTCTGAAAATATTAAGACTTTGGTAGTACAGCATATTAAAAACACTGATATTAAAAAGCCTTCTAATATAGACTACGTAAGTATGACACACACAGAGTTAGAGCAGTTGAGTTGCTGCTTTATAGGAGATTGACTTTGCTTCTCAAGCAGCATCATAACATGAACTCAGCCATTATGACAGACAGTAGCAGCTCAACAAGGAAAAGAAGCCAGTGATAAATGTCCCTTTCAACAACTAGACAGTTTGGCATGTCTACATTCATTAGTCAGCAAGAGACAGCTGTTTCTGATATCCACTCTTAAACAATGTTTCTGTCAGCGTACCTCAGCTAGCACCAGCAGAAATCTGTCCTTGTCCCTTGTCAATCCAATTGCCTATCTTTTAGGTTGACACAGTATCTTGGGAGTCTTTCTTTTGACATTGACTTGTTAAGGTTAACACATGTACTTAACAAGAGTTTCTCAGCATTAATTAAAACTTCTCTTCACTAATTCAGCTTTTACTCCAGGATCTGCCTCATTACCTTAGGGAAAGAGACTGACAAACAAATTTTCAAGTGAAAAAAAAAATCTCACAATCTTCTGTTTTACCTTTTGCCTTTTCCACTACGGGCATTTCATCCATTGTTATAAGAGGCTTTTTGTTGGGGGGCTCAGGAGAATCGGGGGAATCTTTTATAACTTCTGCTTCTGCTAGTTCTTCTTTTTCACGATCCAAGAGACTTTTTAACCTTTATGAGAGAGAAGGAAAACAATGAAGAACAACACTACAGCAGCATCTATTATTTCCTGACATCTCTGTACTCTTCAAGTGACCCACTACCCACATCATGAGGTTTCTTCTGACCGCTTGTCAAACTGGGAAACTTGGGAAAACTAGCCAAATAATCCTCTGGAAGACTTAAGGGAAAGACCTTAAAATATATTTTCACCTCCTTTTAAATATTTATATCATACTCACTGAGGTAGTTCTGTCAAAACTAAAAAGATCAACCAACAATCAATATGCAGAATGCCAATTTTTTTTTTTTTTTTTTAATATGATCCAGGTTTACATTCTGTATCAAACTGCTACAATCTCAGCCCTTGCTTTGCTCCACCTGTCAAAGCAAAAGTAGCTGTAGAAATGGATTTGATCATATGCAGAAAGGCAAGAAGATCATCAGCACAGTGACAATAACACAGGTCAAAGTGTCCATCCTCCTAAGCAATCCTAACATGTACAAAACTACATATTAAAAAAAGCTTAGTAATGCAAGGTGTTTTCTTTAGAATAACTAGTTTGAAAGAAGGAAACCAGATCTCAACTGCTTCAGAAGTTAGAATAATCAAAATGAATCATAAACTGTAGGTGCAAGGACAATCATCTTTGATGTTCAACCAAGGAGTCCAGCCTAATTAATTTGGATATACCCAACTACCATCCAAATGACTGAAAAAACGTGACTGGACAGTTGATTTCATGTTCTAATATTCCTACAGCATAGTAAGTGTTGTAGTTACAAAGTAGTGTAAAGCCCTGCTGTCAGCAGCCTGTCCAAGGTCCATATTTGTCAAGTATTTTTACTTTGCAAATATGATAAGCAGGCACTGTAATAACATAGATGTTTTTCCATCTTATCAATGGCCAATTAAACCGATTAAAAAAACTGTGATTCAGAATCATTGTTTATGCTTTTAACTGTGGCTTACCAACAAATCAAATTAGAACCCATTTTACAGCACTTCTCTTGCAGAGCATCATGACAAAGATTATTATGTCACGGTTTTATATTACTTTAGAAGATTTACCTTTCTGATTCTTGCCATGGCTTATCTGTTTCATAGTCCTTTCCTGACTTCTCTGACTTGTCTTCTTTATCTTCTCTCTTTCTGCCTCGTTTCTTGCGTTCTTCTTCTTCTGGGGGTTTGCTTCTGCAAGCCATCAAACACTCCAAGACCCGCTGGTGCTTATCAGAGTTGCCAATGTGTGCTCGTACCAGAGTTTCCAATTCATTCCACATAATCCGATACTGTTCATCTCTAAGCAAGAGTAGGAAAAGCAGAACTGTATATAGGATAATCTAAATCATTAATCTACTGAATAGCTAAATTAAAGACTTTTTTTTGTGTTGTGCTGTTTTGATTTTATTTATCCCCTGAGCTTCTTCTTCATGTGAACATGCACCCACACCTCAGATCGTCCCATCCTTGCAATTCATGGAACCACACCACGTGATCTTTCCCCACTAACATTCAGAGTTCGGTTTAGTTGAAATGTAGATGCTGATTCCACTGACAGCAATTTCTTAACTTTCATGACATCTGACTGCCAAAAGTTACTTCTGAATTCAGTCAACTGTTTGCTAAGCAGCAAGTTAAGCAATATTAGGATGCAGATGACCACTCGAGTACTGGAACACCCATGATTTATTTAAATATTTGCATAAAAACCAAGAATTAGGAATCTTACATTGGTTGACTGTAAATAACTTCCAGGTGCCTGGTGATCTGCTGCAGACTAATTTCTTTCCAGTTAATTCTTGGAATTACAATGTATGCATATGTCACCATTGGAACAACAAATAAATGGAAATCCTATGCAGACTTTAAAAGGAACATCCTATATTTTAAGTAACAGTTTCAAAGTTATTTGACTATTCTAATAACTCACTTTTATATTGCTGTTTGTTTACAATATTCTCAAGTTCCCCCTCTTAGTCATTTGACATTATTCCACTTTTTCCTCCCATAGCTTGTCACCTTCCTCGATCATTTCTGTACTCACATTTAACACTCACAATTTTTGCAGTAATAACATCACTGCTGTTTCCTAACACTCGGCACAATCACTGTCCCTAAACGGTGCAAGCAATTTGTATATCATTTAGTAGACTCCATATTACCTTTGGCCACATTTTAAAAGCATGTATGAAAACAATATAAATAATACATTTTCTGAGAAACATCCAACAACAACAAAAATATTTGTATTTAACCTTTTAGGACCCTTTCCTCTGGTACCAACTGTTGAAATTGGCAGCGGATCATTTTTCCTCTCCATATCTACCAAATTGTATATTGTTTTTTGACAATTCAATACATCCTCATCTGTCATTGCTTCTTTTACAATCACACTGGCTAATGGCACTACCTGCAATACAAAACATAAGTCAAGAATGGGAAGTCCATATATTGCAGGAAACTAGCAGGACAAAGCAAAAGCAGTCTGTGTAACCATGGAACAATACACAACAAAAATACTACATTCTCTCCTGAATTTAATAGCAACACTGAGGTATAACCACAGGCATGCCTTACTGTCTTTACCCATTGCAACTCAGCAGCTCTTTAGCTAAGCCAGTTTCAAGTACAGCACTCAATTTAAACAGTTATAATCTACTGACATTAAGTACTGAAGTTAGAAACAAATCTTCAAATAAACTCATTTTGTGACAAATGATTTATCGTAGAGTTAGTGCTTCCACCAAGTAGCAGATTCAGACTTACTCTAGACCAGAAGAAAAGGTTACACACCCAAGATTACTTACAGCTTGCATGTTGAAGATGGTAGTCTGAGAAATAATCATAGGCCAGTAACGAGTATGTTTCTCTAATTGATCTTTTGCACGTTCCAATGGAATTTCAAGACTTCCATCGATCTTATATCTGGGTTCTAGAAAAGGAGTTAATCGGTTTTCCCTCATAAATTCACCAAAATCCTAATGATAACCAAACAAAATAAAGTTAGGAATTTCTCTAACAAAGTAACTTTCACTGAATGGGTGAAACAGCATACTCTTGCCTATCATTTACTGTGTACCACCATCACTAAACCTGACTCCAACACCCAGAACCCTTCTTCTAACTTTCAAATTTGTGACATTCTTTGAGGTGAACACAGAAATTCATAATAACAGGGGTTAAAAACTGACACGAAGTTTTTAACGAGAAGGTCTTCTGGACTTGTAAGGTATTTCATGTATGGTAAGAAGCTCTACTATGTTTTCTGGAAGTCACTCCTGCTTACATACAGTAGATGCAAAGGAAGTGTTAAAAAAAAAAAAAAAAATGCCAGCTTACTGTCTGTTCTATAACCAGAGTTCAAAGCTGACAACTTCATCTACTACTTATTTCACAACTCATTCACACACAATCAAGCCTTCCACCAATGACCATGATACAGTTGTTCTATGTGTACTCAGCCCATACTAAAACCTCGCCAGGAAAATGCTGTTTCAGAACCAAATCAAAGTTTAGATATGGACAGTGCATAAGGCAGCAGAGTGTTTTCTCAGCATGGAAAGGATTCTATGAAGCACACATGACAATGAACGGATGTTCTACTTTAAGTATACATCAATGTATACAAAGAAAATCAGATTATGATGTCATGTAAACCACCCCAGATCTCCAGAACACACACTAGAATTTCCTATACACAACACCCATTGCACTACATCTCTTGTCATTGATGTGAAAACCATCTAAATAAAGGAGTCTTACTGTAATCCGGTAATCAGTAACTCTCCCACCGCAGCCTTCACTAATTGATGGGGGATCTTCTAGAATTGACCGTGAGCTGCTTAATACATGCAGAAAAATTTCTCCTCCATGGCTGCTGAGCATGTGACTAATTACTTTCGAGCCAGACTTGCGTGGCTGTTCCAACAAAACAGAACGACCTGATGGAAGTGAGATCAGCTTCATTAGCCACCATGTATCACAATTTTGAATTAAAAAAACCATATACATGGAGGTTTGTACCAAACCATTAAGACTTTGAATCCATTTAAGTTGTGTTTTGGCCTTGATGAGCAAGAAACTTTTTCAAGCTTCTACTCTATTTCTCTAAACAATACAGTAAGCTTTTAAATCTTACACAGAACAGCTGAAAGGCCCCCCCCCTCCTGGGAACACATTACTGCTTTCTAAGCAGGACATTATTCCTAAGAAAAATAAGTATTTTAGACATTAATATGGTACATTGCGTATGAATGGCTTGTTATTTTTAGTCAAAGATGATGTTGTATACTTAACCATTATCTTGCTCTACTGCAGAAACTCATTAAAAGCATCTTCTACAAAGAAGCAACATAACCCACTCAAGTATAAAAGGTATCCATTTATTCTATTTTTAATACTTACAACAGGTACAGCTTTCCAGACACACTAAACTTGCTGACCTATTTTCATTAAAATACACTAAACAAAGACGAGTAATCTTCAAATAAATTGTTTGTTACAAGGAACCAGAAACAGAAGATTAGAAGGGAGGGTTTAGTTAATATACTATCAGTTTGAGTTCTAATTATTTTTTACTAATCAAAGTACTTTTCCAGTACAGAATCTTTAGAAAAATACACAGAATAACTTCCCTGGGGAAAAAAAAAACAAACACATCCCATTAAAAGGATGTTCATAATGCAGCCTTTTTTTTTTTTTTTTTTGCTTACTGTAAAGAAACAATTGAAGCTGACTACATACTTCCAGCATTATGATAAAGGATATCACCACCTACTGAAATAAATGTTTCTTACTATGCATTCTACATACAATACATAGTAATAGCAGATACAATGTATTCTACATTCGGATTCAGTAAAGAACTTTCAGGATTCAGTATTTGCTCTCTACCTCTTTCCTCTCATTTCCAGTTATTTATATGACACATTAACATACTCAGCATTTTCACAGCATACAGACATGCCCCTCTTTGTACAGGCTGAAATGTGGGCAAGTTTGTTAGCAGAAGTGTGGGCCCTCTGGTGCAGAAGCCACACTGGAGCAGTGCTTGAGGAGTTGTGACGTGTGGAAAGCCCAAGCAGGATCAGTTCCCTGTGCTGGAGCAGGGGAAGAGTGATCATAAAGGAGCAGCCAGGACTAAGCATTATGAGCTGACTACATTCTCCACTCCCCTGTGTCAGTCAGGGAGAGGAGGCAAAAGAAGGTGCAGGGAAAGAGGTGCTTTCAGTTCTCACTGCTCTGGTCTGTTAGACAAAAGCAATAAATTATATTTATCTGCCTATGAGGAGTCTGTTTTACCCTGAAGGTAAGGGTGAGAAGATAATTCAATTGTCTCAACCTGTAAGTCTTTTCTCATCTGACTTTCCCACCCGTTCTGTGGAGGGGAACTGAAAGAGCAGCAGATGAAGCAAAGATTTACCAATGCAAAGCCACCACAACGTTCCACTTGCAATATTAACAACTTTCAAATAATTAGCCAAGGACACAAACTTACCATTAAGGAGAAAGTTTGTAAGGCATGAAGACGGTCTGCTATTTACATCTACTGGTGAAATTCTGTATGCTCCAGTGCAGTAGTGTAATTCTAAAAAATGAAGGAGTAGAAAAGTTGAATCTAGTTCCACACAGAAAAAAAAAACATCTCACATAACCAAAGAAGAGGATGAGGCTGAACAGCATTTCACCACTACTAAAACAAGATGAAACCAGCAGTGATGTATGTAGAGTAAAAGGTAAAAACAACATCAAGAACTACCTCCTTGCTTAATTCTTGTTAGTAGATAAGAACATCCAACACAAGTTAGAATAGCAGCTTTGTAAGATATCATGTTACTTACCCACACTATTTGTTCGAGGAGTGCACCATTTTAATGTCACAGTTTCTTTAAATGCGCCCTCTCTGCTGCTGCCACCTACGTGATTATCACCTGCAATATTGAGCCAGAAAAACGTGCATCATGATGTGATCAAATATTGTCTTTGTTGCACAAAAACTCAGCAAATAATTCTCGTGGGTTTTTTTTAATTTAAGGTGCAAAATATTTAATAACATGATCGCATACAAGTAATCTAATTAAGCTAGATATTTAACAAGTGAAAGAAATCCCTTCTTCATCAGTAGCAGTACTTAAAATAATCTTTTAAAAATCAACAGCTATTGAATGGTCGTAAAAAGGAAATGCAAGCAAACAGTGTAGCTCCAGAGTATGTTCCCCATATTCAACACTTGGAAAATTATAGATACATTTTGTTTTACTCTGCAGCAGCCTTTTTTTCTTTAAAAAAAAAAAAAAAAGCCTAAGACTTGAAAAGCATTGATTTTCCACATATGAATCAAAACCCTTAGCAAGAATTAAGAGCCCTTCTTTCAGGCTGATTAGTTTACATACATACTGTTTCTCAGCCTAAAATGAAGCTCATCTAAAGGCACATTTGACAATTTGGGCTTTAGAGGGAAAATAAAATTTGTCTTCTTATTCAGCATCTTGTCAAATTCAATGTCAAATTCAATTTGAACAACTTTTTTTTTTTTTTTTATAGGCCACAAGTGTTTTATCACTACAAATATTTTTGTATAACATCACACTGACCACTGGTTTGGTAGACAGCATCTGAAGGCATTAAAGCAGATATTAATACCTATAACAATACATTATGAAACAGTCAAAATAATATGCTTGAATCCACAATAATCTGAAAGTAATTGGAGGCATACATCAACATTCTATGCGATATGTTAGGGTTCAGTCTAAGATTCTATGTAGGAACTTCTCTGATTCTATACCATAAAGATTTCCTCAGAGAATATTTGTTTGATCTGCTTACTGATCATGAAAGTAACTTGCAGTAGAGGCTTTTTTAATGACTAAGAGTACAGTTTAAATAATTTGAATCCTTTTAGAAAAACCTCTCACAGAATAGGTTAAGGCTTGCCTTTACATGAGCTCCTCAGCTACTGCCATTAAAAATAAGATCTAATTAAATAACCAAATCTCCCCATTCCTAGTGTTTAGTACTGTCAGAAGATGGATTTCAAAAACAAAAAAAAAAAGGAACAAAAACTGACAAGGTCTGATGAAAACAAAGCAAAAGGCCATTGCAGCAGGAGCCTGGTTTCAGCTCCTACCAGCAGGCTTATTCCCAGAGCCTCTAGGTTTTACACAGGATTTCTGAGCCTCAGCCTTAAAGCTTTGTACTGTCAACATGCATAGTAAGTTCAAGTCAGTCAGAATTCAGTATTCTAACATCTGATTCCTTCACCCCCCAGTCTTCAATCATAAACTTAACTAAAAGAGAAGGATCAGTAATCGTAAATGAGGAGATGCATTCTGTCCTGGAGGTGATGGCAGTCCTCTTAAGAGCAGAGGGGGAAGAAAAGTCCCCCAGAGCAGCTGCTTACTTACACACAAACTTTTTCAAATTTGAGAAATACCCACTATTTCCTAAATAACAGGCAGGTAACTCATCTGTTAAAATATTATACTTCTAAGATGTTAAACCATCACCTTCCTAATATGCTTTAAAGCCATGTAACTGAATAGTAAAGAATATCTGTAGTCAGTAACCAAATACATGTATTCTACACACACAGCAAGTCAGACTAAGACTTCTTATGACTCAGTGCCACTTAAAAAGTTACAAACAACACTGAGAAATGAGAAAACAGCCTATAAAAGACTTCAAATGAGACTTTAGCATTTCAGAAGAGGAACATAATAAGCATTCCACTAAACATTGGTAGACAGGGTGTTTTTGGTTGCTTGCTTTAGCCTTTAAGTACCACCAATACAGAATATTTTGCCTCACTTTGTATATAAACAAACTGTGATCTCAAACACCTTCTGCCAAATTGTTCCCTCCCCCCACCCAGTCTCACAGAAGTTTTAATAGCTCACCCAAGAGGAATATTAGGCAATTCCAAGCTACAAAAACCATACTGGATGCTTCAACACAGTGAGAAAGCTCAAAAGCAACTCAAGTTTTTCAAAGCAATTACTGTCATAAACAGATCTACAGAATGATGGCAATTATTTAATAAACAGATTAAAAGCTCAATTGTTCAAGGAATAGTTTTCCACAAGCATTCAACCACCTTTTTTTTTTTTTTTTTACTTTCTGTAAAACCATCACACCTGTCCCTCAGATAGCATGCTTTTTATTCAATAAGCTCAGTAAGAAGCTGAAGTGCCCCCTCACAAATCACACACAAAAATCCTAAAGGTGCATGGAACCTGGACTGATAAATTTGATCTGTTTTTGAAATCTTTTATTATTACTTTACAATAGACCTGTCATGAATAAATCTTCAAAGCCAACACTGCAAATGAAGTTATTAGGCTGCAAGGAACAACTGAAGACATGCTATTTACAAATAAGGTTTCCCCTTAACTCTAATAATTATGCCTGAAACCTGCATCAGTTCCAAACTCATAACCCCTGCTTGTAAATCCTTCTAGCATGCACATGATTGAATAGACAACATTTAGAGAACTATTTCTACTTACCACTCTTCAAAAAGTCAACGTGTGCTTCTTTGTGATGAAGAAGCTCCACATCATAGTTGGCTGATGTGTTAGCATGTTGTTCTTCCTTTAAAAGAGACAGGTAAAAATAATGCATGCAATTATTTCCAAGTAGCAGTCACTAATTCTATTGATAAACTATTGTGATGATTTGACATCTAGCTCTTACATCACAGGAAAACAAGTCTCCCAAGTGCATTAGACAACAATGGGATTGCAATATTGAGGAAACAGCTCTCTGATCTATTTAAAGATGCAGCCTTCTCATTCTTTAGAGGGCTTGAAAAAAGACTAAACTTTCTTAATGCAAGTGCCATGACAGTGTACACAGTGGAAGGTGTAGACAGCTGTAACTAATTTTGCTTAAATTTATAACATTTAGGAAGCCTCGCAAGAATCTAGAACAAAAAAAGCAGACTTTGAGTGTACCACCATTTTCTTAACGCTTAGATGCATGGGGGGGGGAAAAAATTACTTTCAACTTCAAGTTGATGATCACTGCATCTTTAAACAGCAGCAACAGATCAGCAAAAATGGGAGAGTAATCCCACTAATTTATTAGAAGTTAAAAAACCACAAACAAGGAATTCAACATTGTCTATTACTATAAGGACAAAGATAGAAGGGAGAGGCATACCAGCAGCACACAGATCAGATTGTAGACAAGGTATTTGCAAACCCAGAAGTCACATTTATCTGATGATCCATGTCAAAGTTCATTAAAAATAAGTGTCTTGTGACATTTAATTCCATGTTTTAACTTATTGGATCCATATCAAATCACTATTTTTGAAAGACTTTCATAGAAAATGGCCATTTTTCAAAGAATACAACAGGAATTGCCAAAGAAAAAAAGCCTTCAATTGTTTTTAAAAATAAGTTTCTGCCCTTACCCTTTGAATGCTGACCCTTTGCATCAGGCAGAAAGAGAATTGAAACAGAAAATTACTAAAAACTTAATATTTAATTACTTAATTGCACTGATTTCCCTCCCTGTAGTGATAAGAAATAAAAGGAATGTGAACAACTTTGTTCATACTTAAATTTAATAGCTTCCCCAAATAGATTATATCCAATCCTTGTCTTTGTGGTTTATAGACATTCAGAATGGAAATCCTGGAAAGCCTTTAGCCAAAAACCAGCTGTTAGTTACAAACACCTTTATTTCGAGTGGGCATGACGATCAGACAGAGGAAAGAGTCACTATGCCACTAAAATGCACAAGGGTCAAGAATATCTAACAACACAACTAGAAAAAGACAACAGAATCACAAACAAAGTAATTTGAGGCAAATAAGATAATATTTATATGAAGTAATACAAACAGAACTGAAACAACACTTGTATTGCTACATCGAAAATTGAGATCCAGCAATACATTTTGTTCTGTGATCCTTCTTTACATTCTTCCCTTACTTTACTTTTACTAACCTGGTCACAAACATTAAATGTGGGCTAATAAAAAAAAAAAGAAACAAAAAAAAAATGATATGGAGAGAAAAACAATGTAAAAAAATCATTTAAATTAAAAGAAATCAAATAAATTTAGAAGCAATACAGCAAGCTAACAAAGTCACGGACACAATATTACCTTCATAGGAATGTTGGTTATTGTGGTGGAAGCCAGATCAAAGTGTTGCTGGACTAAAACATTCAGTTTTGTAGCTAAATGCCGTCCTGCACGGACACTGTGCACCTCACTGGTTAAAACAGGTGAAAGCTAAAACAAATTGACAGAGAACACCCAGTGTCAGTGGATTAGACTCCAGTTTCATCGAACAACATAAAACACTTGAAACACTAAACTCAACATTTACACCATTAAATTCAATGAGAAAGAAAACTATCATGGAAAGTTACAAAGGGGAAAAAAAAAAATTGCCTCTTTTGCACAATTCTGCAGATTGTGTCAGTTGCTACAGTTGCAGTTTCTGCAACATGTCACAAATTAAAGGTGTAGTACCAACTCTGACTCATTGGTTGTCAATAGGAAGGATTTGTACCAGGATATGGGAAAAGAACCCTCTTTCCAGGGCTAGGGTTTCCCTCCTTTAGCTACTGAGTAACAGGTGCAAAGCTCCTATTAACTGTCTGCACGTCAGACAAACAAAACACAAGCTGTAAGCTGCATTTGATTTTCCAAGTAATGACATTGCTCATTTTTTAAAGACCAAAATCAATGATTGTCTTACAAGGGACAGATTTAATCATTTGTACAGCTTTGCTTTTTTTTTTTTTTTTTTTTTTTTTAAAAAAAAGTGTGACTAGTGAGTATTTCTGAACAATATTTCAGAACAGTAGCTGCATTCCCTTTCACTTGTGAAGTAGGATGCAAGACTAGACGCATTTTGTGTTAAGACCAAGACATCTTCCTTGCATTCTCGAATCAGTACATCACAAAATCATTTGCACATATTTGCATACAAGTTCATACAGCAACACATTTTTGCTACAACTGAAATGTTCTTATATGCATCATTTTATTTCGTGATTTTTCATGTTTTTGTAGAGTACTTTGAAGATCTGATGAACTTCAAATACTCTATATTCCTGTGATACATTACCCCTTCCTTTGGAAGCAGACATGCCTTCCAAGGCTTTTCACTATAAGGGCATTGTGTTGGCTAGCACCTGACTACACAGATCAAAGCATCATTTCGGTGTCACAAGAAAAATCACTCAGCAGTTAAATCATAATGCTTCAGCCTGGATGACATGGGACACCTTGCTGAGCAATACCAGTGTAATTTAGCAGATACATGTCAGAACTTGCTGCTAGCTAGCAATTCAAGCAGGCCTTTTATAGAACAGTTATTCAACTCAACCATCCAACACACCAAGCAGTTGGTGGTTCTCCATTCAATTCCTTCTCAAAAGAGAAATCAAAACAAACATTCTCTCATCCTACAGAATCTACTTCACAAAAAACCACAAATCACTGCAAGAAGTGAAAAATATGATACCATGTATGCTTGCATACTATGAAAGAAAACATGCACTTCAGATGGCAATATGCAAGCTGCCAACTTTCCAAAGAATTGTCACCTGTATTCCTTCCTATGCCAGGGGCCCAAAGCTTTGAGGCTTAACTGCATTACCTACTGTAGTCTGACAGTATTCCCAATAGCTGTGATACATTTTCTCATTTTAAGACCTTTACCTCTTTTTTAGGGCGATCTGAAACAAGGCTGTCTTCACCAACTGGGTACGTATGGATTAAGACCAATTCACATTTCTGGATCTGCATCAGGCTTGAAAAGAAAAACATTCTATTTAACCTACAGGGCAGCAAAAAGTGTAAAAAAAAAAGTATCTCACAGGAACTACACGATCTCTTGAGATTCATCTGACCAAAAGAACACAGAATCCCAGATGGTACAATATAGTTTCTAGAAAATGCTTTCAGAAACAAAGTTACATAAACAACATTCAAAAGCATACTTCAAAATAAAGTATTGAAATAAGCACTTGTGCATCATTCCCAGCTCTTCAGTTGCAATAGTACTTTGATGCTTTTTTTTTTTTTTTTAAACAGATAAATGGAGCAAATCCTTGTCTACTATTTACCTTCATCACCTGAAAATGGACACTACAGAGGGTTTGTCTCAGCAAGTGTGCCTGCAAGTATTAATGGGGGGATTCTGGTGAACATGGGGCTGTGTAAATATCATGTTTATTTCCTAACACAGCTGGAAACCTGGAAAGATTGAGACACTCCTGCAACTGTTGCTACAGCAGTGTATGACAAGCTATCTTTTAGGAAGAAATTCTTTACAGTGAGGGTGGTGAGACACTGGAACAAGCTGCCCAATGAGGCTGTGAATGCCCCCTCCCTGGAAGCACTCAAGGCCAGGCTGGATGGGGCTTTGAGCAACCTGGTCTAGAGAGGTGTGTCCTTGCTTACAGCAGGGTGTTGGAACTTGATGACCTTAAAGGTCCCTTCCAACCTATGATGCTATGGTAGGTCACCCTTTACAATGGGCTTAGAATCTGACTCCCTTGCACTAGTGTCCTTCTTACATATACAAAACAGCATTTGCAGCAGCTAAATATAGCTTCTGCTATATAAATGCCTACGGAGCAATCAAGGATAAAATCTCAAGCTGCCGTATACTTTTGCACAATAACATACAATTCCTGCACCAAGCAGTTCACTGTTTAATTAGACAAAGCATATACTAGAAAAGTGGCAGAAGGAGATTAAGATATTCCTTTATTCCAAGGGAGTTATAAAGGAACACAATAATTTATAAATTAAAAACTACTTTCAAGCCCCTCAGCTATTTCACCCTAAGAAATAGAGAAGTGAAACTAACTGGTTGCTTTCAAGAAAGAATGCAGATACAAAACTGGTTTAGTATGCCTTGTTACAGGACTGTATCATCTCATGTTTTAGATAAAGATAGAACAATATTTCATCAGATTGCTATGAGGATATGGGATGATACATCAGCTTAGAACCCTCTATAACACAGCAGCATTCAAACCACTCATCAGAAGAGTTTAAGAAATACAAGTGTAAATTCTAAAGAGAACATACCAGGCACACATAGGGAAAAAACAAACTGCTGAAAGTATACTCACTGATCTGAGTTAGCTGCAAGCTTATTATGTTCATGAATGGTTTCCTGAACGTAATCCTCAAGCATCCGAACATGACTGTCACTGGAGAGAAATGAACAGTTTTATGCAATATTATAAATCCTCTCATTCAGAGCAACAAGCCACCACATACTTTTCTATTGAAAGTGAGAATTTTTCATTGGTTACTGTAGCACATCTCCATGAACAAAAGCACGAATAAGGCAAGAAATTATTTACTAAAACTACAGCTACTGTATAACCAAGATGTTATAATTGCAATATAATCAAAAGAGTAAGGCAAAAGCAAACAAGGATCACAAAAGAGAATAAGTAGAAGAGCTTACCCTTGGGTTGAGCTCACTAGAAGATACCAAAAGAGGAGGATCTCCAGAAGAGATCCTTCCCCTCTGGTAGCCAGCTCTTAAATAGGTCCAGGAGGGGTGGAGCCTGGCTCCACCCCTTCCGGCAGCACAGGAGAATTGCCTTCACCTGTGCTCCTCTGGCTGACTCATGGCTCACCTCAGGTGATTAATCAGAGGTTCAGGCCGTGACTCAGCAGTTCCCATACAGCTACTTAGAGCATTAATTTACAGCAATCAATGAAATGCTTCTAAAAATGCATGAAATCTCTATTTGTTGCTGGCAGAAGCAAATGATAATACATACCTTTTTGCATTAGTAATACAGATTATTCTTCCTCTATTTCCAACACGTTCTGCATTCTCCATGAGCATGGTTCGAGCCTCGTGTTGGTACTCTGTTATTTTGCAAAGTGCTTCAACTGCAGCAACCAGCCCATGAAGTATGCTGCAGCATTCTGGATCTGCCCGAGGATTAGGTGGCCCCACAGCTGCTAAGGCTGCCATTAACTGGATAAAGGAATGACTGAAAGTTACTTTTGAGGCATCTGTTAAAGAGTTCAGTTATGAGAAAAGTTATAATGGTAACTTATTTTACATGTTACTTCACACTGACAGGAGAAAAGCAAACAGAGCAATAGAAGATCTGTACACACTCCCAGACTTTGGAAAAGCACTGAGCTCAAGTTACCCTATGCAACTGATTTCCTATGTGTTAACAAGCCTGTACAATACAATATTGTATCTCACAGAAAAATACATAGCTATACGTATATATATAGCTATATATAATTGCAAGTTGCATCCAATACCTATAAGAAATCCTTACTTTATCAACTGCAATTCACTTTAACTTTCTGAAAACTTGGGAAATTTAGTTGCTTCCTAAAGTAAGCCTTTCAGAACACGAGCCCATTAGATATGAGTGAAAGTGAGAATAAAGAATGCAAATACTGTTTATACCTTCTTACGTTTCTCTGCACAAACAAGTGTAAAATTCTAAAAGTATCACTAATTTACAGATGAAATGCATACCAGGCTAATTTCTTCATACCATTTATTTTAATATTATTTGGCCCTGAAAGCTGCTTTTATTTCTAAATGTTGCTGCTTATACAACCTCCCAGGCTACCACTTAAAATGGTACTATGTAAAAACTTCAGACCACATTGGCCCACTAGCATTTTAATTCATAACATAAATATTGAATATAGAATAACTGAATGGCTTGAGTTGGAAAAAATGTTAAAGACTACGCAGTTGTAGCCACCCTGCCATAAGGAGGGTTGCCACCCACCAGAGACACATCTTTTCTTATGCTGAGGGCCCAGGCCTTGATGGAGATGAGGCATCATGAGGGCAGAGCAGAGTGGAACAATCACCTCCTTCAATCTACTGGCCGTGTCACTTTTGGTGTAGGCCACAATACAGTTTGCCTTCCCAGCTGCAAGCACACACTGCTGGCTCACATCCAGCTTTCTCATCCTCTAGGACCTCAAGTTCTCCACAAGGCTGCTCTCAGTGAATTCTCCCAGTCCCTACTCAAGCCTGGCATTGTCCCAGCCCAGGTGCAGCACCTTGTATTTGGCCTCGTTGAACCTTGTGCCCTAACACAGCTTCCAATGATCTGTTCCATGATCTTTCCATACACACACACAGTGAGGCTCACTTCTCTACTGAGAGTGTTTGGGTGACAAACAGGTACCTCAGTGCTTCTCAACAAGAAGTCTCCAGTTACTTACACCTCTTGCCTTTTTTCGTGGCACTGGTACTAATAAGGCAGCTTACTGTGCCTAATAAGGCAGTCTGTCAGCTTACTGTGGTTGTCCCTTCCTGTCCCTTGATTGTTTCCCATATCCCCTCTTACTTTCAGCTCCAGAGCTGCATGTCTGTTACACAGGTACATTTCAGGGGCAAAAGGCAGACTCCTCCTTTTGCTCCAAGCAAAGATGATGTTGCTGTATCCATTATCTTGCATTTTATTGGAATCTATCTCCTGAGGCTGAAAGCCAGTTTAGTTTCTTTCTCTTCAGTCCCTCTTGCAGGGACTGAAGGCAGTGCTGTCAGTCTGCCTGCATCACTGCATAGAATGACATCATTCTCTCTCAAAAAAATTCTGGATACTGCACTGCCTGATGATTTTCCTCATTCAATCTCGACACCTGCTCAAGAAGTTCATTGAGCTGGACATACTTGGAATCCCCCCTCACCCCACCCTTAGTCCCTTGGGAGACTTCCAGAAGCTGGAGCTTCCCACAACCAAAGACCTGGGCAACTATCTTTGCACCTATGGGACCCTCAATGCTGTTCCCAACCCAGCCCCTCAACTGCTCCCACACGTGCTGGCAGCCCCTGGCTGTTCTCTTCTCACCCTGGGGACTCCCCAGTTGCAGGACCTCTTCATCCCACCCCCATCTCCATCCACTCACCTCCTGCTGCACTGCAGAACGTGCCTGCATGAGAGTTGATCACCTTGGAGAGCAACTAGTAACACATCACAATCTGTCCTGTGATTAAACTAATTCAAAAAAGAACATTTTTAATGGATACCTCTTGCAAGTTCTGGTCTTCTTGGGTCCAAGAATTCAAAACATGAGCTCCAGAATCACTCACAATGAAATTTACCTGAAAGCATTTTAAAAGTTCATGTCAGGTAACAGTCAACTAAGATCATGGATTAAGGCTACCTCCCCAAAACCAAACTGACAAGGATTGCACCTTCTCCTTCAGACTAATTGATACCCTGCAGATGTATGCAATTACAAGCCAAACTAAAAATAAGACATGTACAAAAAGCATTTGGTACTGCTACATTCATAATATTACTTAGAGAGTAAATGATTAGCAACTTCTTACACAAACATTTGCTTTTAAGTAATCAAATCAACCTTGATACTGAGTTAATAACTCATGATATTATTAAGTTTTAATAAATAGGTAATAGCTTCTGTAGAAAAATCTCTGTGAAGTACTGAGGTACAGCAAATTGTTCTCCTGATGTCATCACAGTAGACTACAGGGTAAGTACCTAGCAAGATCCATTCAACATTAGAGAGCAAAACTGTAAAAAACACTGTAAAGTTGCCAGAAACAGTCATGGGGAAGAACATCTTCCATGTCAATTTCCAGTTTATACACTACACAGACTTCAGATCAGTCATGCTTTAAATTAATTGAGCATACACTTGATATAATCCCATGATAGGCCAAGACTGCAGTTTAAATTAAGCATACGCTGTCTGAGAGCCAGGACACACAATCCACCAAAGCAGTGAGGCTGACATATCAAACCAGTGAACTTCCAGTAGCATTTGTTAGTGTCAGGCAAAGCCTGGCTGCCTTCTGAAACCGGCTGTTGGCTGCCATTACTTCGTAGCAATATCACTGTTACAGCTTCTTATTTTTAAAAAAGGTGATCAGCCTCAGGAAATTTCTTGAGAGTTTACTCAATAATAAGGCAGCTTCAGGAACCACAAGTTAAAGAGCCACCAGGTATTTCTGCTTCTAAAGAACATCTGTGCGCCCTCTCACTTTTTCAAACTTGCCCTTAGAGATACCCCTCCTATTCCTATCCAATTCCTTTGGAGTTGGTATTGAAAAGCCTTAAGTGCTACCAGGCATATATATTTAGAAGCAGAGTATGATATGCAGCAAGACCTCCCTCAAGTTTTTGTGAGCATGTTACCTTAAAGCACTACTCACATTTTGCACAAAACATGCAAAGGTCCCAAAAATTAACATATAATGGACTTTGATGCTATTTAAAGTAATTTAAAAAGCAATTCACTGTATCAACAATACAATTATACTCATAAGAAATCATACTTAGACTTCTAACAGCAACAAACAGAATTAAGCTTCATGAAAACACGAAAGTACCAATTAAGTTATTAAGCATCATGCAGAATTTGTAGAAAAACTTACCAGTTTCTTGAAAGGAAAAATGTCATACATTATTCTGCAGTACTCCATAGACGATTCCACTGAACAGGTCCATAATGATTTTGATATGGGTGCTAGAGGTATGATTCCTTGGGTCCGGTTCTTTACTAACATATCAAATTCAACATGCTGTCTACAGGATTCTGCCATATATGGGCAGTGATCCACAACAAAAACAGTTTTATGAGACTCAGAGAAGATTTTCATTTTCTTCCTAAAACAGACAATGTTTAACAGTTAATTAGAAAAAAAGTGTAGGAGAGAAACATATCACAGAACTACCGTGGGGTTTATATAGCAGAAAACTATCCTACTAGAACATTCGAGTTCTGAAGAGGTTACCTCACACTATTTAGATTATACATCGCATCCATTAGCTGCAGTAACATCCTATTAGGCTCCAGGACACCCTGTAAGTGTGCCTATATTAAGGCTATTTACACAGAGAGAAGTATCTTAGCCCTTATGTTTAGTGTACTAGATGCCTCATCATTTCTTTGTCCCCCAGGAGGAAAGATGCAGAAAACGTGAATGCAGAGTTGAAAAATAACAATAACACACAACATTACCTTCCTCCTTCCCGTGATTAAGAGGTACATCTAAGCAAAAATCGTACAGAAACAGCTTGCTAGTTAGAGCTTTCCTGTTAACAGTAACAGGAAGATACATACATATATATTCATATATATACACGGTCAGGCTAGACGGGCTGTGACAGAGCAGCAGGACCGAGGCTGTCAGGCTCACTTCCAGCCTTCTCTTCGCACTTCTCAGAACACGCGAGGAAAGGAGAAGCACACAGACGGACGAGGAGGGCACAGCCGCGGCAGCGCCCGGCCCGCCGGGGGAAGGGGCGCGCGGGCGGCGTCTCTTACTTGGGCCGACTCCTGCGGTGCTGCAGCGGTCCCGGGCCTCCTCCGCGCCGCGCCCGGGCCCTGCCGCGGGCCCGCTCCGGGGAGGAGGGATAGGCCCCGCGGGGCGCCCTAGAGAGGGCCGGGCGCGGGCGCCTGCGGCCGGGCGGCCTCCATGCCCCTCCGCTCGCTTCCTCGGCGGCCGCCGCCGGCTCGACGGGGAGCGCGGGGCCCGGCTCCGGTCTCCGCGCCCGGCGCCCGCGGGGGTGGGAGAAGCGGCCGCAGCCCCCCCCGCTCCGCCCACCCCTGAGGCCGCGAGACCCCCGCGCGGCCACTTACGCCGCTGGCGTAACGGCTCCCCCAGCGCTGGCAGGGGGAGCGCCTCTCCCCTCCTCACCCACTACCCCGCCGGCCCCGCCAGCCAGCAGGGCCCCGGCGGCGCGCCGGGGTCACGCAGCCCCCATGGCCCGAGCCGCCCGCCCCAGCGCGGGCCACCCTCCGCGGCCTCGCGAGATCCCGCGAGACCGCCCGCGTAGCGCCGCCGGAACGACCGACGAGGTGGCACAAGGAAAAGCGGACAGTAAGGTGAGGCCTCGCGAGACTTGAAGGCCGAGGGGGCGGTGCGGCCTCCCTCGCTCCGCCCACGCCGCCATTTGACAGCGGGGCGGGCGGCCGGGCCTCATCTGGCGCCGGTTGCTGCCGGAGCCGCCGGTGATGAGTGAGCGAGGGAGGGAATGAGGGGGCTGGGGGCACGATAATGGGCTGTTGGTGAGGAGGGCGGTGGGAGGTGGGGCCGAAGGGGTTGGTAAGAGCGGGCCGGTCGGGAGTTGCCACCAGCCCTGACCTGTCTACTGTGTCGCGACAGGTGGGAGGTGTCGCGATAGGCCTGGCTGGGGCACGGTAGAGCTGAGGGAAGGCCAGGTAGCGCGCTCCCTAAAGCTCCTATAAATTATGGAGCTGTGCAATGTTACAGAGAAAAGGAAGAACGAAGCTGTAGTAGAAGGTTTTCAGTAGTGAGGAAAGAGCAGAGGGAGGCTGCGGTGCTGGCGGAGCCTTTGTGTTTTTTTTTTTTTTTTTTTTTTGTTTTGTTTTTTGTATGGTAAAGTGCAGCCGAATTAGGTAATGAAAGCAATTAGTCAATAGCAGGAGGCGGCAGGAAATGAGCGTGGGGCGGCAGCGTTGCTGCGCTGCCGGTGTTGCTGCTCCCGCTGCTACCTGTTGGCCCTGGGCTGTGGGGCAGCTGCGGGGCAGCTGCGGGGTGACGGCTGTGCTCGGAGCTGGGGCAGAGGGCGCTGAGGTGTGCTGTTGCAAGTCCTCGTGCTCGCATATTAACAGTCGGTTTGAGTTTGGGATCTTTGAGTCACTGATCTTTCGTTTTTCTTTCCAGTGTTCAGGGTAACTCACGTGTTTAGATGTATTCTGTGGCAAGGCAGCTTTTTGTTCTTAATAGTCAGCTGGCTGAACAAGAAGAAAGTATTGTAACTGCCAAGAGTGAGGCTACTGCTGTGCCAAAAGGAATCCTAGTCAAGATTTGGGGCTTTGGATAGCACAATGCAAACAGCAGACCTCCTCCTGGAGGACTCTGCAGGACTGCCAGAGCTCCCACACCGTGATGTGGGTTTGGGGCTGCTGCCTGACTTGGGGCCTTCTGCCTGCACAAGATGCACACATGGCTGCCCCAGCTCAGTCACTGTGAAAAAGCCAGTCGGTTTTTGTCTTGTGCAGTCAAAATGACAGTACACGTTCATCCTTCCATGCGCTATGTTTAAAATGTGGTGTTGATGCAAATTATCAGAGGTGTTAACTGCATTGTAGTCTGAATGCAAAATGTATTTTGTGCTCATAGGGAGGCCTGAGAGGCTTGTTTTGTAGTGGCTGGAGAATTCGTGGCCTGGGAATTGAGTTAATGTCTGCTCTTCAAATTCTGAAACACTGAGCTAATGAAATCAACTTCTGTAGCAGTTCAGTCATCTGTCATGGAAGCTCGTGTTTTGTCTGTAACCATTTTGTAGACCGGTGAGAATGTGAGACCAGAATTGGAAGGAGGAGTAAGACACAAGAAAAGCAAATCCTTAAAAGCAATGCAATATGTTGACGTCACCTGAAATGTTATCCTGAGTTCAAGCAGCATCTGGACAGTGCCCTCAGACGTATGGTCTAATTTTGGGGCTGTCCAGTATGGAGCCAGGAACTGAATGTGGTGATCTTTATGGGTCCCTTCCTACTTGGAATAGTCTTCAATTCCTTTGTATGTAATGTCAAAAAGAGCTCCAACTGCTAAGCCACAGTGTATAAATGAACTGCCTGTGGTAACACATCAGTCTGCTGAAGAACTCGAATACATAAATACATCATATGGAAGTTAAAATCAAAGCTTTAGTTGATAAATAGGAAGGAATTCACATTATGAATGTTTATAAGAAATCTGAATATGCCAAAGTGTTGCTGCTTTTGAAAATACAGAAAGCACAGTTTAAAACAGCTGTGCTCTGTGCAGACCTAAAACTTGTTTGCTCAGGCTTCTTTGTCCATAAATAAGGCTTAATCCTTCTGTGATGGGACGGTCTGTAAGAGATCATTTTGCACCATTTTGCATGAAGTAAATGTCACGTGCTCTTCTGAACACAGGAAATGTTAACAAAACTACCGAATTAAAATGCTCTGGGGACTTTAGACTTAGTTCAGGGGCTCACACAGGCTCTTCAGAGAGAGCACTGCAGACTCTCTCACTCACTTTCCCCCAGGCTAATGCTCACTGATGGGATGTTCTTGCTATCCTTGTAAATCATTGAGGAGAATGGTGAAATCTCCTGTGTTTGAAGTGTCTTCTTTCTACTGCTTACCTAGATGGTGGGAAGAGGTCAGCTGGGGATAATGTGAGGATTTCATCCAGCTTGGCTTTCTGGTCCATAGCATGATCTGTAAAGGTGCCTAAGAAAGTTAGAAAACCAATTTGAGTAATTTTTTTCTGTAGCTCAGTGCTTGCTGACCTTGTAGGTTTACAAAAACCTCTCCTTCAGCAAATGTCCCAGCTGAGAAATGGATTTTTACAGTAACTTGTGAAAATTTCCTGAAACAAGACTCAAACCTTATGTGTTATTAATAAGGCTTTCTTACTGCTATTTGATTGCCAAAGAACTTTCAAGGAGTTGAAGTAGTTTTCCTTTTCAATCGAAAACATGCAAGGCTTCCTAAAAGAGAACAGAACCAAGAAGCTTGAAGAATCTCAGTCACTTGAATCTTTTGAGAATAGTTTTAGGGGAGAGGAAAAAAAAATAAAAAAGCAAAGGCCCATGCATTGGAAATCCTAGTATGTGCAAACATTTTGCAAGTTTAGGTAATTTCTGCTTACAGCTACTGTAATTAGAAGGCTGGTATTCTAACTATGCAGTCAGTTCGTTGTCTTAACTAAATGGCTGTCTTGCTCTATCCTGTTGAAAACAGCACATCTTACAATTCATTTCATTCATTTTTAGACATTTTAGACATGAAGATGTAACACAGGCCTTTGGCTTTCTGAGTTTGCCCTAAGTAATTTTCCTCTACACTGCCAGTTTTAGTTCTTCTTTCTTTACTGATTTAATTAAAATCTTCAAGCCCTCTGTATCCTTTCTGGCATTCTCTTTTGTCTTGAATTTATACATGTCAAATATCAAGAGAATATCAAATACTCTTCTCACAACACAGCTTGCTTTCATTCCTTTGCTGCAATACACGATCTCAACAGCAATTAAAAAGCAGAAAATGGAAAGCCAGACTTGCAGTATTTTTAAGCTATATGATTTTTTTCCTACTCCTAAAAGACAGCATGGGTCTAAAATGTCAGCTCTCACTGTTTGGGGAAGAGGAGGATGTAGTCAGCTGCTTCATACATAGGAAAAGTACATATATGCACGTGTGTTCCAGAGATAGTGGTTCTCTCTATAGCAAACGGGTGGTGGTGTGAAAATAATACACTTCTTTTCTTTAGAAATGAGTTGCACAATTGAGAAAGCCTTAGCAGATGCTAAAGCGCTGGTGGAACGGCTGCGGGAACATGACAACGCTGCAGAAGCTCTTATTGAACAGACTACAGCTCTTAATAAACGGGTTGAAGCAATGAAGCAGGTTTGTTTTTCAACTTTGTTTACTCCATCAGGAGTAGAACTTGGAAACACATCATTTGAAGTCATTTCTGTGGTCTGTTTTGCAATGTAGAATCAGTAGTTATTTGGTTAATCCTTTAATGCCATACGAAGTATTCTTATTGTGGGTGTGACTGTCATCTAAAATTAGGTTGTTTATAATTTTGTTTGATCCTGTGAGGAACTTTTGCCTGCTGTTCTAGCTTAAACATTGAAAGTTGGTGTTTATGTTAAGAGCACAGGTAAAAATGGGGTTAGTGTCCTGCCGTGGTGCCTTGTGTTTTGTTCTTCTGTAAAGTGCTACTTGTTTGATGATTCAAATGTGCAGATTTAATCAGACAGAGGCCCTGTCGTAGTGTCTTCTGTGTAGAGTACTTTATCTTTTCACTGTCTCCTTTTCTTTCCAGGTAGCCTTTTAGGCTTATTCGCTATTATTTCCCTTCTGATGTTAAGCTGTCCAAGGCATATCATTAGGTTGAGTGTGACTTTCACTAGAGAACTTCTGCAAAACATAAAGGTGTCAACTGTCTTTCCACTTGGAAGTTCATCCTGTCATTTCTGTTTTAATACATGTTTATGAGCCTCTAAAGTAACAAAATCCTGCATATTGAGGTTGGTACTAGATGATCTTTGAAGTCCTTTTCAACCCAAACAATTGTAGTGCTCTATGTTACTGTATGCTTCATCCCTGTGAAACTGCTCACGCAGAGGCTTTGTAACCTTATATCAAGAGCATCACGTTTACCGACTTGTTGAGAGTCAGGACTCATGCGTTTAGGTCCACGTGATTTGTACTCATACACATGCTTTAAGCTATCAGGAAGCCACAGAGGTGTCAGTACCTCATGGCTATTCTTTAGCACGTGTTTGTCAGCTGTAGTGATCTGATGGGGAATTTGACCTGCACCAGCTGAAGGTTAAACCGCGCCCACTACAGAGACCTGAGGTATCAAACTTGGTTTAATATGAGCG